TTTTTTTTTTTTTATGACAGTTCTGTCGGTGAGTTTTTTTTCCGAATTTTATACCGACGATTTGGTTTTTTTTTTTCTTCTGAAAATCGACGTAAAACACCCCAACAATTATTTACCAAAGGATAATTCATATCTTATTCGTCTTATATGTTGTTGGCAAAAAAAAAAAACCGAACGAAAGAACACGCTGTAACCTTACGGGGCGGATTTAACGCACCGCGGACAACTCGGCCCGCGCGGGGGACGTATGGAGAGACGGCGAAATCGCATTGTATTTCGCTTGTACGTAGCGAAAACGGTTAATTTTTTTTTTTTTTTTCTCCAAGTTTCCTCCAACTACCCATTTTTAATTGTAAAATGTCCATTACACGGAAATCGAACTCAAGGCCACCCATGTCCTCTTTCCGACTAAATACACCATCAACACCGTTGCCGACGGCGTGGTTCTTCTCGCCGAGCGCGCATAGTATTTCACAAATACCGAACGCGAACGGACGTTCCGGGATAATACAGACGGCGTAATAACAATAATAATAATAATAATAATAATAAACAATAATGTTGCGCGGTAAGGTGCGCAATTTATTGCCGGATACGGGAAATTCGGAATGCACGTGATATCGAACGGACGCTCGGTCTCATATCACCGCGGTTACCGGTACGCCGGACGGCGGATCGCCGCGTTTCCTATTAATCAATGCCGTCGTTATTGTCCGACGACGATCCGATTGTCGGCGACATTGTACAATACGGATGACCGTGGTATTCCCCGCGGACCCCTTATCGTAGCGTTTTATTTGGACGGCGGGGAAAGCCGTTTGATCGAGTACGGTACCGTTGCGTTATCGGCGAAAACGGACGGGACGGCGGGCAGACCGCGGTAAATTCGATTGTTTCAATCCGAATATTTCGCGGACGCGCGGTTTGATTCCCGATAAAATAACAGCGATAAACACGCCGCATTGCAACGGGATCGGCGGATCCCGGGAAAACCGCCCGGTACAACAATAATAAACTATAATAACAGTCCGAACGTCAAAATCGCTCGTATCGTTCGTTACGCGTAATGGTAATTGCGATATTTTTCTCACGCGCACGTTTGTTTTTTACCCCGCGGAAGTAAAGAGCGGATATTGTGTCATGGTATTCGAACGGGAGCGGTATTTCAATTCTGCTCGCGTGAAGGTGATAACGAATTGAATTTGAATTGTACATTTCAGAATAGAAGTGGCAAATGTTTAAATTCACCCATGTAGATGGGTAGGTTTAAACCTACTTTAAATCACGAACAAAATTACCCAAGCTGTGTTCAGAATCATTCTAACGAGTTCCAAAATTTTGTTTAATTGTGCACAATATTTTAAGGTTTACGAAGTATGATTTTGACCGAAGTTCAGTTATACTCCTACCCAGTGTTTAATCTGGAACATTTTTCTGGGGAATGGGGAGCATTACTAAAATTATAGTAATGACCTTATTTCTTTCTGCTTATCTACCCTCTTATTAAGACCAGTCAAATTTGTATAATTATTTAATTAATTATTAATTTACCCATATCCGACAGGGGGGGGGAAACAATATTTTAAAGGGGGGGAGGCCATTGTCCCCCTGTCATATACCTGAATTCAACACTGCCACCACGTGTTTTTTAAATGCCGTCATTTTTAATTTATGTTAATATTTGTTATAAGTCATTGCGATGGTAATTTATTATGTATTTAGTTATAAATTAATATGTTTAAGATTCAAATCAAATTTATCAAAAAATATTTAACCTAACAGCGAATTGTTTTTTGCTTTCAATGATTTTTATTGCGTGCAGATGCAAATTAAATTATTTACCTATTATAACTATAGGTATCATACTATCCCAACTTGCCACAAGTAGCCTACCCACGATGCTAAACATTTTATAATATTTCGTTGGTGCATGAATATACACTCCCACTGCATACTTAATATTATATTATATAACACTATCGTAATGTTACATATTATGTACAAAGTATTAAGAATGTAGATACTTATAAATACGATCTCCAAAATTTGATAATGGAAAGTAAATTAAATTCACCTTGGTGAATAACTGAGTACAATATCCTTTAGTGTATGTGTTACATATAGACAAATTTGTGTTTTCAAAGAAATCCACGGTACTAAATACAATTTCCTGTTGTGACTAGGTAGTAGGCACATTTATTTAATAACAATATTTAACTATTTAAATTTCACAAATAACATGTCTCTCAATTTAAATAACATAATATAATATTGTATTAAGTACATTTCAGAATGAATAAGTCATAATACCTATGGAAGTAGGTAATTGGAATTTGTAAAAGTCAAATTGATCGTGTTTGATTAAATATGACAGTCAACTATTATCATCTATTAAATATTTTATATTAGTATAATAGTTTGTGTACAATGGTTACACTTAAGTAACAGGAACCGGAGTCTACCTTGATTCCTTTTCATTAAAAACATATTTATAAGCTCATGAAATTGTTTTTTTCTGCAAATTTAACAGCAGTCTCAGACATTAATTCTCATAACTATTATTGAATTTATAATATTATCACAATAATTGATTTTTAAAAGCTTGAGGAGGGGAAAGTGCCTTCTTTGAACCCCTCTAACTACATCACGGCCCTAGGCCCTGTCCCAACACATCTATAAAATATAAATCTCTAAAACATAATATGTTGTAATTGTAATTGTTAATATTTGATTTACATAGATTGATTCAGTGGTCTGCCTTATATGGTCAAAGGTTTTTAATAAATATTTTCTTTCCATTATCTTTATAGTATAAAATTATACTGATAAATCCATTTTATACATCCATATGATTAAATTTGTGATTCTATTCTTAAAAAGAAAACTATCTACCTACCTACTGTAGATTCGTGTTATCTGAGCAATAAGTTTAAAGGAGGTGGGGTGAACATTTTGAACATTGAAAAACGTTTTTTATTAGTCATATAAATTTACTAAACAGTGCAATACCACCACATAACAACTCTATAAATAGTTTATCATTTTCTTTATTGTAGTCTATATTATATTTATCTGGAACAATAGTTAAATACCTAATACATTTTAAAATAGAAATATGAATTTTTTTCTTTTTGTAGAAAATTAAAATAAATTTTATCAAATTTTCTGATAACACTAGTTTGTAAAAAGATGAAAAAATGTCTTAGAAACATATAAATGCACTTAAAATATCAAAAAATGGAAAATAAAAGTCATATTTGAATACTTTGATATATGAAACAAATTTTGTGCTTGGAAAGCATTGCTTTAGGACATTCTGAAAAAAATTAAATTTGCATTATACCTAACCCTAGCCATTAATGACTAACTCATCATTAATGAACAATGATATAAATTACATAATTTCAAGTATTAATATCAACCAAATTTTGCAAAATGTACATCATATCAAAATATATTGCGTTTGTTAAACATAATATATTCTTTTTAGAGCGGAGCGAGGAATGAATAGGTTTTACAATGATGTGTATTTCTTTTATGTGAACACTTTTTCTACCAGAAAGCTTACTTCGATTATCAAGTATAGCACCTTTTCTGAAAGGAAATATTCTCTGGGTGGTACTTTAAAGGGGTGATGATTTTAAATTCTTATTAATATTCGAGATAATGAGGAAAACCTAGTTCTTTAGGTTGAAAAATATTGAAAGATTAAAAATAAGGTTATCATTGACAACCGTTTTTATTTATTTTTTATTATTATTAATGTCATGGAAACACACATTATGTTAATCATTTTATACATAATATGACATAATACCATATATTGTATTGTCGACAAGGCAATATTTTTTTATTTACTTTATGTTATTATTAACTATTAAGTTTTTATTATTTTAAAATTTGTTTGAACGATCATTATTGTTATGGAGACTCACATTGTTGAAAAGGCAATACTATAGACCAAATTATATTAAAATAAAATAAATTTTGATTTAAATACATTCTTTTAACTATAAATCTTTATATTATATTTCTTTATTGTATACTTAAGCATCACTATCAATTGAATTCTGCTCAGAATTGTTTTTTATTAGCAATGGTTTATCATTGCTTACAGATATACATTAAATTCCCTTGTGTAATCTACCTTCTCAACTTCCTAAACATAACAGTGGCTGCACCCAAGTGTGAAATATATCAATATTTTTTCATATTCCATTAGCGATTAGTGATTACTCAATGGATAATATTAACGTTTTGCATTCATTAGATTTTAAATCACAAAACCTACACTGTTATCCTGACTATCTCAGTTGTAGTAGTAGTTATAGCTGGGCGAGTCTCAATTCCGTTATCTCGATTACTATCCCCATACCAGTCAAACTTTATAGTTTAATATAATAGTTTAGTATAATATAATAAAGCATAATGTTTATTATCAGTTATCACATAAATAATCATGGTTAAAATAAAATATCTAAACATTTTTTTTGGAGACTAATTTTTGAAAATATTTTTCAATATGTTATAGAATGAATCTCCTTGGATGTTTTGTCTCCAGGTATGACTTTAAATAATGGCTCTGGTTCCCCTACGCTTTTTATTTCTCTATTTAGTGGAACCCCAAAGTCGTTCAATAAGCCGAGTATGGATCCCAGGCAACTGGGCGGTAGTCGACATAACAGAAAAGTACATAATTTAACCGTCTTTAAGAATCAATATTATGACATTTTAATGTAACTTAACTAATCAATGTGTTATGGACACCATTTCATATTTATCTCCACCAAATGTATTAGTTACAGACTTATAGGGCTCTATGACTACTATTTAATCTTTCAAATTTTACACCGAAGCAAATACGCAATAGTATATTTGAATTTCTTGGGGTTTGAATTCATCAAATTTTATCTAAAATTTACTACTAGAGAACCTAATTTCTAACAGAAAATTCAGTGTATCTCTCAATGGGAAAGTAAGCAGTTACAAAATACTACAAAATGGACTACCACAAGTCTAGAGTTCCCATATGGCATGCAGAAACTCAAAGCGAATTAGTTGAGTACCTATGCACGAGACGCTGGGAACAGTCAAAAATCCGTAATAGAGACCTGATCAAAGAACCATTTAAAAAAGTCCCTGGCTGGGATAGCACAAGGGCTATATGGACAACGCTTAATCGAATAAGATCAGAACAAGGAAGATGCAACTACCTACTTCACAAATGGGGGAATGGTAGACTCTCCACTTTGCGAATGTGGAGAAATGCAGACAATCAAACATATGGTTGAGTTGTATCCCATTACAATGTTCAAAGAAGGATTAACAAAACTACACGAGGGTGGCCCAACACAGCTATAAAATGGCTTGAAGAACTAAATACTCGTCTGTGATTTCTATTGTTAATAGTATTGATGTTATTATAATTTACTATACCTACCACATATATTTTTTTTTTTATTAGTTGACTAGTTATCTTAATTATCATATTTATTTGTTTTAATTTTACTAACTTTATCTATAACATTTCTCAGGTTATCTAAAGTCGAATATGTCATATGAAATTATTATCTAAAATTTACACTGATATTATATCTAATTACCTATTTCTTTGCCCATCAATACAATTTCTAAAATATTCATGTCTATTTCATCAACACATTGTTCACTTCTCCATAAATATTAAAGAATGGATACCTTATTACTATATAAGACCAATGGGATTATTTATCTTAAAGATATTAATACAAATAAAGATTAATAATAAAGAACTTTAACAGAATAAACAGACTTAAATTTGAAATTATACTGCATTCAAAAAAGTTTTATTTTAATATAAATTATTATAATATTTTAATAGGTATAAATATATATTTATTTACATCTTATGGTGATTGACTAATCTTATACTATTAATGAGAAATTGAATTCAAATAAATGCATAGTCAAGTTGAAAAATACAATAAATAATAAATACATAATTGTGTAGGAAAAAATACAATTAATACATACTTGTGTAAGAAAAAAAAAAACAAAAAATAATTAATGGTTATACTACTTGAACATAATTTAAAAGTCTCCCATTGAAACTACATTACTATACCAATCTTCTAACTCTCGAGCTTTGTCTGTATTTGGATTGAGTGTTATCGTACTAAATTTTACCAATGAAAAATATTTTTCTCCGTTGAATTGTTTAAGAACTGCATTTTTAACCGAAACTACTGGGGGATAATCGAAGCTCTGATTGAACAAGTTAACATTTTCACCCCACACTTTTAATGTGATCTAAAACAAACAATGATCATAATATTTTATCAATTAGAAAGGTATATATTTTTATTTTACAAAACATTGAATAGTAAACACAACCCTTAATATCCAAATTTAATTAATCATTGATGCAAATGTATTTACGACTGCAGTATGCCATTCAGCATACAGTGTACTCCCGATTATCCGTGGAATAGGATGGCAGGATATCCACGGATAAACAAATTCCGCGGATAATCCGATAATAATATTATCGAGGGTCTAGTATTAAAGGAACATAACATAATGTGTATTAATAAAGCGTATTTTACGTTGTTATCGAGTTATCGACTATGCCAAATTCACAACTTTCTTGGAAAGATACAATACGTATATATTTTTTTGTATACATATAGGTATGTAGATGATTCCGTGGAAGACAGCGGATAATCCGCAACGCGAATAATCCGCTCGCGGATAATCGGGAGTACACTGTAATTTGTAATACTAAAAGTAGGAAATAGAAAAATTATAAATTTAAATAGTAGTTTTTTTTTTCATATATAAAAAAAATAAATTATTATACTATTTGTTGTTTTTTTTTTAAGAAACCCCAATACATTTTATTCCTGTATAATATTAATAATTTAAATGTATCATATTAATAATTTATAAATTTATTGTTTTTATCAAATGCAATTAAGAGTATTAGATACAAAATGACTGATTAAATTAATTTATTTTCAACACATTTTTTAATCCTATTACAAATTTGAAAATATCTAACTTTATATAAGATAATTTACAAGATTTAAACATGTGTTGTGTTGATTACACTGATTTTAATTATTGAATTTTATTTGTGCAATCTCTTTAAAATAGGAAAAACTATAAATTTAAACAAACCGTTGTCATAGTTGAGTCAATCAGTATAATCTCACGTTTTTGAATATCCCTTTGAAGAGTTGGTTGGTTACACATTTCAACATCACCAACTTCTATACAAACTCCAATTAAGTCTGAAAAAAAAAAAATGTATTTAATAATATATTGCAGTTGATTCTATGAACATTATTATTAATTTTTTACCGTAAAATGAATTCGGATCTTTTTGTAATAGTATATCAAAATTAATTGATTCAGTAGATTCATCATTAGGTGTGTCATACAAACATTCTATTACAACAGAATAAGATTGAAGTTTTAGTTCACAAGCAGACGGTTTTTGTTTCCAGACTACATCCGTTATATAATATGTTTTATTTTCCTTAAAAATAAAAAAAAATATATATTAACACAATTATTATTATTATTATAATTTTTAAAGTACCTCTAATATTTGATCCATGCGATCGCAAATAGAATTAAACGCACTGACATGTATAATATTAACCCCATCTCCCATTGTCATGTTCAAAATTCGACAACTACTAAATGATAATACTGGACGTTTTCTAATGAGAGTCAACTTTAGCATACTAGTACATTTTCTAGAACATTAAACAAATAATATTTATTTTTTAAATGAATACAGTAAGTACAACATAAAATTATTACCCGCTCAATAATTTCTTCACATCTTCAATCTTTATAAGACTGCGTTCCAACTGTTCAGTACTATAGAACACTCTACTTGGATATCCATTTAAATTTAAATTTACTAATGGCTTTTTCATCTGTTCGATATTTATCAAGGGTTGTGGATAACCGAAAGCTTGTCTGTGTACCAATATGGTTAGTCTCTCAATAAATATAGTCCATCTACAAGAATACAATAAATACATTAAATTGCTATACTTACTTTCATGTACATAGACCTTCTTGGATTCACTGTTTATAAATTCATGAACCTGATACGGAAGTGTTAATAAGAAATAATGCCAAAAAACAATTTTAATTATTGAATATTTTTTTATTTTTACATTTTGACATAGGTACATACAAAAACATAACTATACATGTAAGGCAAGTTTCCATTGTACAAAAAGTACACATGGCAAACAAGGTGTTAATTAATATTTAATGATATTGTTCTAACCTGGGGCTGTGATCAGTATAACTATCACCATCCACGAATCTAAAATCTTCAATTTTTATTATCATTCCGTAGTTCAATTGTCCTTGATTTATCAAATCGTTTAGTCTGTGGTCCAAGAAGAAATAAGAGTTCATGTGAACACCATCCGATAACACAAGGCGATAGTAATATCTATTGTCGGTTCCCATTTGTAAAACTTCATAACCCTGAAAAACGAATTTTAAGTAAATGTTGGTACATATCAGCTACAGTTTTATATTATGCAAAATACTACGTAACTCACCAGTAATTGCAGTATGATTGGCTGTCGTGCATTGACACCGTTACACAGATCCTACAGCATGGAAAAAAATTACAAAATATTTTATTATTAATCAAGTTTATACATTTTATAACTCGCGTAATTTAAATCTAATGTATTGGAAATAGTAAAATGTAATATTATTAACATAATACATACGTTTATAGAACCTGCGGACAATTCTACAGCCATTTCGAATTAAATTGTTAAAGCCGAACAAACAAAGAAACACTCACGAGGGAAGACCCACACATACACTAGTCACGACTGCAGGAACAAATCACTATTTATATTTTTCAAACCTATTGTTTGATAACAAAAAAATGCCGGGAGCGTACCTATTAAGCTGCTTATACACGGAGCGGTTCAACTGCCAACGGTCGTGGTAGGGCGGTTTGTCTAGATAATAAACAACATTAGATATGAACGCTACTATACATTCTGGTCGGTCAATATTTCTGGCGCGATTTTTGAATTTTAAGTTTTTAATAATATTCGAATTACCTACTAAATACTAGTATATTTAATTGTGAAATTACTTCGTATTGGGGCGCTCCACCATTTCCGTTCATTCACTCATGTCAGCCTTGCAAATCCAGATTACGTAACAGGAGGAAAAAATACAAACAATTTGTTCCAAAATTATCGAGTTCAAACTTGACCACATGGAATTTATGAACGTCGTGCATAATTCACTAGGGGTTCCCAAATTTTAATAGGCCTTTTAAGTTTTTCTAGGTTATCGTGACCGAACAAAGGAAATAGGTTGTCAATAAATTAGTAATGTATATTACAATAGATACCTGTGATGTATATGTACCTATGTCAACGTATTAAAAGATTTTATTTCGAGAAATACCTGGGTACTTCATACACTGGCCAAATCAATTCGATATTCCGATAAAACATGTTCCTAAGGCCCGGTGCACACGTGCTTTTTTTTCGCGCGCGGCAACGTTGCGGTACCGCAATTGTGGCGTGAAGTATCCACAATCTACTGGCGTACAGCACACGTACCAGCGGTGACGCCGCGTCGACGCGTTTTCGTTTTCGTGCAAGTTTTTATCGCGCCGCAGCGTTGCTGCGCGTATAAAAAACGCATGTGTCCACCGGGCCTAAATAATGTAAAACTTAATTAGGTATCTTGTGAATTCCCCGCCGTTGTCCATTTATAGTTTGTACTTTGGATGTTTTTAAGATTAAACGAGTTTGCGATTAAACCCAGCTTATTTGTTATACGCAAACGTGTGTTTCACACACACGTTAATTATAACAGTAAATACCTAACGTGTTTTAATTCCCGGATCGAGATGATTTTTTTTCTGTAATTTTGTGTTCGATACGGATGAAACGACAATTTAACGAAGCTATTGAACAACGCAGTAGCGTATTTATAGGGGGGGGAGGGGTTAGATCTCCGTTGCCTTTTTTTTTTTTATGTGTAAACACACGCGCATGACAAATCACACATTCTGTAATCTGTTATGTGATAAACTTAGATACTTGTATATTTTTAACAGTTCAATATACAATACTACGCACCGACATTAAGTCACTTTGTTATTTTTCGAGTATCATTATACATAATAATAACAACAAAATCAAAATAGGTTTTTTAAAAAAAAAAATTTAAACTGTTTATAAATATTGTGTGCCATGGTTTGTGATTATAGACTAGATTAAATGGGTTAGCTTTGCTGTCTTGTCACAGTGAAGTTGAGGTCAAGATAGATGAAGTTTTCAATCAGTTATGTATAAAACAGAAAACTTTTATTTATTTTTCAATTTAATAAAATAGAATATCAAATATATTACCCAAGCTGTATTTGAAGCTGTAGATAGGTATTTAAATATGCGCGTTCCATTTTAACAGTAGAAAAAAAAAATCGCCAACAAATTTAGGTATATTGTTGTCGGACCTATGGTTTTTAATATGATTTGAATAATCGCTGTCAGATCGATTTTGTAGCTTTGCAATCACACTACTCGACAGAGGTTTTAAATTTGTACGTGTCTCATGCAGGCACGTATTCAGGATCAATTTTCGGGGGGAGGGGGGGTTAAAATATTTTTAATGAAATAAATTATACATAGAGTTTGTAGTTAGTCTTTGTTATGTTATAAATATATACCTACTATAAAAATTTCGAGGGGTGTTTGAACCCCTAAACCCCCCCCCCCTGGATACGGGCTTGGTCTCATGATCAATATCGTTTAATAATAAATACTTATATAATATGATACTGTTCTTTCAACCACTCGAACCAGTAATTAAAATGAAAAATTTTAACGATTTATAATCTGTAACGTTGTATCACAATTAATACAGACCGGTACCTATAGCCGATACCTGACTATAGCAATTCTGTGCGTTTTCTAGACAATGTATTACCCACGAAATAATAATATTATAATACACACACAACGCATGTGTAACAATTGTTTCGTTTCAAACAACGTTTGGTTTTACGGTTTCACGCAACGAACGTTTCAGTTTCATTAATTACAAATTATTACTTTCAATAGTTATTACCTCCTAATCGAAAGACTGTATCTATAATATAGATATTGGATGAAATTAGTTTGTATCGGGGATACCCGGCTAGGTAAATACACGATATCATATTAATATATTGTTGTTATAAATTATTGTCGTTTGTCGCAGTCGTCGGGGACCGGTTCGGTTTCTGCGAACGCGATAATCCATGAATAGACACGGGATAACCGCCGGAATCCGCCGGATTGCGCACGACGTGAAAACAATAAGACCCCACAGCAGTTCCCAGTGTGTAATATTATTTGCAACGCAAATCAAGCCGCGTAATTGTAATTAAATTGAATACGTGTTCACGGGGCAAAAGTGATTTGTCGCCAGGACACCCACCACACCGCTCATCGCGAATATCGCGTACGCTCACAATACGACACGATCGAGATACGCAATTATTCAAAATTGATAAAAAAAAAAAAACCAATCGAAACATTCGGCAATCGAATAGCCCGTTCACAACTCTGAATAGGCAGAAATCGCGCACGCGCGACCGACCATAGATAATAAAAGATATATTCTTCTGATATCATATCTTCTATTATCTATGTGCGACCGCCGGGCGCCGACCGTTAATCATTATCTTTCATCGATTTTTTGGTAATTGGAGGGGGGGGGGGTGGCGAAATATTAGTCGGGTAGGTACCGTAACACCCACCCACCATTTGAGAACAAAAATTATCCCGCTTCGCTCTCAAACATCTCATTGACTAAGGGTCGTCAAGTACCTACGTAAATGTACGACGACGACGACGACGACGACGACTTATGTCACAATATAATATTAAATATTATTTAAGGTAGGCGCCTATGTTAAGTGGTAAAAAACTACAAAATAATGTTTCCACACTATGATAGTAGTTTTGTCTATAATACGACCATGAGGGAAAGGGGGGGGGGCACCTACCGCTACCTATTCACAGCTGCCCAGCGTTCAGCAATGTTAGTACTTAAAATTGAAAAATTTAAACAAACGCGTTCAACAGGCGCGTCTTTGAGGGGGGTGGGGGGATCGCATAAGTGTAATGTTCTTTTTTGTTGTACAAAATATCCATAATTCTTATGTCCAAATAAGTACAAATGAAACTGGTCCCAAATGCTACAAAGATGATTCCAGATCTTGGAAATGCTTTGATTGAAACAAGAATGAAACATTTCTCGTGTATAAATTTCAATAAATATTCTAAAGGGTGTAATAGAATTATGGAAAACTAAGTGGGAACAATCAATTTGCAATTATAAAATTAAATAAATTTATTTTTTAAATCAAAATCGAAAATGTTTAATTTAAGTTTCAGATTCTGAGTGTAGCCGAAAATGTATCTATTGAATTTACAGTGTTTTTTTTTTCTACGATGACAACAATTTCTACTAAAAATCTTGCTTCAATATGCAACTGTAACACCTTTTTTGAAAGAAAATATTGTCATTTTCTGATTTTCCAAGCAGTTTTTATATCAGGAAAACCCAAGTTAAAACGTAAGAAAAATGTACAAAAATAATGCTTTTATTATTTTCAATTTTGTTTTTTCTTGCAATTCAGTTAAAAATATTCGTTGAGATTTGAAATTTAGATAGAAAACTTATGTTTGCCTTTTTTTGACGTGGTCAAATTTTTGAGCAATTTGTAGACATTTTAATTTATCGGGTGTTGTACATAATTTTTATTCGGAAGGTACACTGTGGATAAAATTGTTAGATCAAACAGAAATACTTAAGAATTTAATACGAGGTTCATTGAAAGTCATACTTTTTGTGGACAAAAAAAAATGTTGAGCAGAGGCTTATCTGGCTTATCACTTTTAAATATTTAGGATCTGGTCATCTAATTTTTATTAATTATTATTATTATTATTTATTTTGTTATTCATATTATCATTATTTTAATTATTATTTATTTAATGGAAAAAAAATTAATTCAATTTTTAAATTATACCGTTTTACTGCATTTGTACTATGTATCTGTAATATTTTAAGCTAATATTAGTTGAAATGATATCTGACATAAAGGTTTTAAGTTTTTGTTGACTAAAGCGGTGGTATTCCAGAGTAAAAAATGTTCGCTCTCCCCATTGATCTGACACAAAGGCGCCCTTGGCGTTGAGAAACTGCCATTGTTGACTGGTATGGCATATTACAGTTAGGGTTGACAACTTTCAAATTGTGTAATGTAGGACAATTTTTTTCACGTCTTATTTTATTTCATTACTAGTATTTAATGAAAAATGTAAGGTCAGTGGAAAGGTATATTTAGTAGGTACCTACTAGGTACCTACTAGATATGTATTTTAACAAATAATTATTTATATTCTATTAACAATTAACTTTTCACATAATAAATATATTAAATCTTAGATATAAATAAAAGAATTAGAAAATCTGTAACAAACATAAATACTTGGTATATAATTATTTATTATCTTAAATTATATTATAGTAGGTACTAGGTAGATATATAAATGATAAATGATTATTAATAAAATCAAAAGGACAAAAGATATACCTGCTAATGAACTATTAAAAGGTATAATTTTATAGACTTTAAACTATAACCTATTAATGTTATTATATATACCTATACCTACATATTGACATTCAAAATTTAGGATTGTCTTACACAAAGTTTAAAGTTTTGTTTTTTTTTTGATTATCTGCATATTTTACTCCATAAAGTTACACAGTAGTTTATAGTTCAATAATTAATCGAGAAATTCGTGAATTGATAAACAAATGGCCACGGTCATACAACAATTAACAGTACAGACTACTGTCACAGTACTTCTTAATAATGAACGTTGAGTAGGTAACTACTAACTGCAATAATTTTTGTTTTGCTTATAGGCTCTCCTTTTTTTGGAAACTTTTATACAGTTGCTAGACAAGAACAACAGTGTAATGATAATTTGGCGGTTATAATTAGTGTTTGAGTTATCAGAATTTCAGATTGCATGATATTAAGTACAGAGCTCCGATAAAGTTTAACGAGGTTTAGGTTTACTTTTAGGACACTACCTACCTTTTTTACAGCATAAAATACCTAAAATACCTTTCAAATAATTCCATTAGATAATGCAGAGTTATAGTCCAATTATCTGGTTGTTGTAGTCTGTGGATTACTACTCTAGGTTGTTAAGGGAAGTGAATATTAATAATAAAATGGTATAGACTATAATATAGGTGTAAACATTGTTATTTAATTATTTTTGGAATTCTTGAAAAGTTGTTGCTTATAATAATCTTTGGGGTAGTAAAGAGTTCTAGCAATTTAAACTTTAAAATAATGTTAAGTCCAATTATTCTAAAAATAATTGTTTAGTGCAAAAGACAATTAAAAATTGAAGGTATAGGTTTATGTTTGCTATTGTTGTATTTGTTATACACTTGCGTTTTGTTCGTATTAAAAATAAAATAAATAAGTCAATTAACAGTCAAATTAAAATTAACATAGTATTTATTAAAATAGGGAACACAAGCTCCTTTGATCCGTGTGATTTCTTTTTTGGACTTAGGTTAATAATTTCACAATAAAACTTAAAGCAATATAATTTTTTTAATTATATTCAACTGTATTCATATTTACTTTTATTGAAATTCTGTGTATCTAGTAGATATAGTAACCCAGTAAACATATGCCAATAAACTATCAAATTGATGTATATGATGAAACCTAATGAAAAATACACATCTGTGAGATATTCATATAAGATCTAAGAAACATCTAAGTCACAAATACTTTATGTCTTGTCTTTATGTCTTATAGGTAGTCTGTTCGATAAGCACATGAACTGGTTTATACAGCAATCAATGTTGGAAATCAATGAAGAAACAGAATAATAAGTGATTATCAAATTCAGAAAAAACATCATAGGAAATTAATGAAATTTTAATTACTGTTTATGAAGATATTACCTTAAAGAAAAAATCCATTTTTATGTGGATTAAGTGTTTCAAGGAGGGCCAATGAGGTTTAAAAGAGGATCCTTCCACTTCACATAACAACCAAAACATTGAAGGTCTGTAGTCTTTTGTGATTTCTGACCAATGAATAAATGTTTATATGATAGCTAATAAGCTGAGGACCGCATATATATGTTCAATGTCAAGAGGAAGGACATCCTGATCTCTTAAAGGTTTTCATGGTCCTCTTTGAAACTCTTAAACTCTTAAACTGGGTTTCTACAATAGTCCATAGAGCAAATATCAGTGCACCCACTACCATATCTATATCTACTATATTCCGCGCCACGAGAGAAGTAAACCGTTTCGCGCATGCCAACCAACTGCACGAGGCCCCATATGTCGGGTACCGAGTATTAGCCGAGTAGTAATTTGTATAAATGCTGGGTTAGCCGGAACATTCTAAATTGAGTCTTATAACTGACTGAATCTTATGGACAAAGTGGAGAAAGGATAGAATGCATTTGGATATGTCCGGACCATTCCAAGTGATTTTGAGTCTAATAAGTGACTAAACCTTATAACTTGTTAAGTTTTTAAATGCATTATTGTTGATAAGCGACCTTCATAGTTATAATTTGTGGCATATTCATCTGTTAAAATTCTTTTAAAATAAGCATGATCTTTTCATTTTATGATCTTCTACACTCCTTCAAATGAACTAGAAATTAAAACCACCATAAATTATTATTTACAAGTATTTGATTTAGGTAAAATGTGATAACTACATAAGTATTACCCACCAAAATGATGAGAAGTCATTTATAATTGTATATTTTCTTCCATATTTGAGATTTGGAAGACAGTCTCTGCTGGTAATACAAAAGTATTAGAAAACTTCTTTAACTGTTGTAGATGCAGATTTCATTTGTTACTGCACAAGACGGAGCTTTTTAAACAATATGTTGGTCAAATTTTGTGCTTCGACCTGTTGACATAATAAATAAACAATTGTATTTAGACATAGTCAATGATATAGACACATGGCCTCTATAGTAAATATAGTAGAGTAAATTTATTCATTTTAATTTTTATTATTATTATTATTTATAAGGGAGCTGCTAATTTGATTTTTAAAATCAAAAGAGCTGTGAACCCAAAAAGGTTGAAAACCACTGTACTTGTAGACAACCAATAAAGAATTAAAATATAGCTTACCATATTTCTTTAAAATATCAATTGGATATTCAAGCCAAATATTGTCAGGTATTGTACATGTTCTTGTCATTCTGGACATTTTAATATTTTTGACAATCCAGTAACATAATAATTGATCACTTGTTTTTAGATCCATGTTGAATCCCATATGTTGGAGCAATACAAATCATGGGATTGTCATCAAAACATATTCACAACTACAAAAAATTTGATGTTTTGTTTGGTCAAGCTAATAACTAAATTAATCAAAGTCTTAATTATTTGTTAACAAAATAAAAGTAAAACAATTCATTATAATAATCCATTACATAAATATAATTTAAAAATTAGTTGTCATTTAATAGATTTATAACTAAATGGCATTATGCAGACCCACAAATGTATTATATTTGGATATAATTTTAGTTGTATAAAGTTTCATTTTTTAATTTTAGATTCCGAGTTGAGTGAAAAAGCTTATGGTTTTACAAAGATGTTTATTTTTTTTTCTATGGACAACTTTTCTTAAAAGACTAGCTCCAATTTTTATGTGTGACGACTTTTTTGAAAGGAAATCCGTGTGGGGAGGTACTTAAGAGAGGTCATTTTTTAGTTTTCCCTGGAGTTTTCTCAACAAATGTGAAAAACTGAAAAAAAAAAAAAAAAAGGGAAAATAACGAAAAATATGTTTGTATAATATTATAATTTTTTTCTGTGGATAATTTTTCTATCAGCAATTTATATAAAATACAAATAATATGTAATCGAGTAGTAATCTATCGAGTAAATACTCTAAGTTTGAGGGTATTACATTAATATAATTTGAATAAGAACCTAGGGTGATGAGCAAACTCTTTTGGAATATAATAATTAGGGTGCAGGTTACAATGTAAATTGCATTTTGTTCTGAATGTCCTAAAGCAATGCTTCCAAGCACACAATTTGTTTCATTTATCAAAGTATTCAAATATGACTTTTATTTTACATTTTTTTTTTTTGACATTTAAAGTGCATTTTTTATGATTTTTTCAAACTTTATAGTGTTATCAAAAAAATGTTAAAATTTAATTTGATTTTCTTCTAAAAGAAAAAAAAAAATCATATTTCTATTTTTAAAATGTGTTATTGATTTACCGATTGTACCAGATAAATATGATGTAGATTAGTAGTCTGCAACCGTTGGGCCGCGAAAAGTTTTCTTTTTAAAATAAAAATTAAGTTTATGCAATTATATAATGTATACAAATAATTGTTCAATTATTTAACTTGGAAAATTAATAAATGAAAATACAGTTTGAAAATTATTGTAATATATTATGTATAAACAGTATTATATATTATATCTATGAACATTGTCGATGTTGTCGCTGTGTTTAAAGATGAATAAATATTAGTCGCGTTATTATTATTATTCTAGTCATATTTACATATCCGTTTTTTTTATTTTTATTTATTCAATTATAACAGTACTACTACAAAGTATTAAGTAATTTTATATATTTTTTTTTGTTTTTTTACAAACGTTTTTCTTTATATATGCCTTATGTAGGTTGCAAATAATGTACGCCTAAAAAAGTGGGTCTTGAGTCCAAAAAGATCACTGATATAGACTGCAATAAAGAAACCGATAAACTATTTATCGAGTAGTAATGTAGTTGTATTGCACTATTTGCACTGTTGTGTTTAGTAAATTCATAGACCTAACAAAAACAATTTTTTTTTCAACATTTAATTTATAGAATATTTTTAAGTCATTTTTCAAATTTTTTGTTTTAGAGCATTTAGAAAATATATTATATTGGTATATGGTGTATATGTCGTATTCACTTAGTGTAATCGTATTTTTCATGAAATGGATGTTCATTTCATGAACTATAATCATAACGTGTAAGTCAAATTTTAGTTCATGAAACGGACATATATTTTATCCATTTCATGAAATAGAAACTCTTATTTTACACTTTGTGTAATATTTTAAATTAATTACATCAATAGGTAACATGAAAAAACCAAAAATACTTCTTACTACTTATTTTTACATATATTATTACTGCTATGGCAACGACTGTTACACTTAACAGAAGCGTTAAAACAAGCACACCATTTTGTTTCACATAATGTAAGTTCTTTATCATTATTAACTTCAGTAATTTTAAAAAAAATTAGATGTCGCGGGTTTCAAACTTGCTGAATTGTACCAGCCTTTTACTAAACCATATTTAGTTCTGAGTTGGTGAAGTTTATGTTCATTCTGATTGACAATAACTGCAATTTCATTGGCGAGATCTGACGGTCCTCNAGGTAAAATGATTTAAAAAGACACCTTTAACATGATTTTAGCCGCTTTTTCTTGTCCTTGAGATCCAAGTTGACATTGTTTGCTTATTTTTTCACTGGTTTTACATAAATCACAAATAACAGTTTTCGGAAAATTCAAACTCAGTTAACATTTCTATATTGCAAATGCTACAATATGATGTAATTTCTTCTTTTTCATGTTTAGGTTGAATATTATTTAAAATTTCTTCAAGATGTTCTTCAGTGGTTAGTTTTTTTTATTATTTCCGATGGAAGATTTGATGATGACAATCCATTATTCGGGTCACATCCGAATAAAGCTTTATACGGCGATCATCCTATTGCTCGATGGAAAGACGAATTTTTTGAAACTGTACAAATTGTAATCCAACTGACCATTTTTTGGATTGGTTATCCATCATCCAAACACGAATCATATTCTCAATGTCTTGATTACTTCTTTCAATGCTTTCCTGACTTTGGGGATGACGTGGTCAACCGTGGACACACATTGTGGCCACAGATCCTTTAATTCCTTAATAATGGAGTTCACAAATTCTCGTTCATTATCACTTTGAAGTATTTTAGGAGTCCCAAATGTAAGAAAAATAGTGAGTAATCTGTTTGCCACTTCTATAGCCCGTTTCCTTTCAAGTGGATGCAATAATACAAATTTTGTATTGTGGTCCTGATAATTCATGATCCATTTATATTTACTATCAGGTGTTGACTGGAGATCGACTAAATCGACTTGGCCCCTTTCATTAAAATCTTTAGTTATAATTGGTTTTATAACTAGTTTCCGATTTGCTCCTTACTTGGAATTGCATATTGCACATACAGACAAAAACTTTTCTATTGCTGGTCGCGGAATTTTGTATTTATGACCCATTGACATACGTAATTAAACAATTCCACCATGCCCCGTTTTAATATGAAAATCCTTAATACGATCGTATAACTCTTCGTATGGTACAACGTACTTGATTAAAATAATTAAATCAATAATACAGATTGCAAATTATAAAAACCAAATCAAAAATTACCTTATGTCTTCGTCTTCATTAGTTTTTATATAAACCAAAAACTTTTGATCTGTAACGAACAGGACATCATACGTTTTGATGAGATAATAATCTCGCCTCTTTTTTTTGCCACTAAAAAATAATGTAAATTTCAAATTATAAACAAATATTTAATGTAAATATTAAATAATATTATTTAAATATTTATTATCTAATTTTTAATCCAACGGAATAAAACGTGAACTGCTGAGCGTAAATTTGCTATGTTACGTGTTAGTAAGACAAGCCCTGATGGCTGATAGTAATAATTTTATTTGAAGTTTCTTAATATATAATTTTTATTTACTAATATTTTGTATATTTTAACGATTACTTACATTTTTATTTTTGCTGCTAAAATGTCTTCAATCATTAATTGAACGTCAANTTCAGAAAATGAATCAAATTCCATTTTAACGCTAATATACGGCTTGCTTCAAGTCAGAGGACGTACTGGCATCATATAAAAATAATATAATACACAGATTTTCCAGAATGCCTTGGTCGTATCACACTTATACAATTGATTCAATTGAATTTTGATTAAATATATATTTTATCGACTAAAATTTATCTGTTGAACGGTCGATATCTCATCTTTACAATTTATTAATAATAAATATAGTACGGTGAGATATGTACCAGTATCAATGTTATTATTTCGATTTCACGAAAAGTTACTTATTGATGTAATTAATTTAAAATATTACACAAAGTGTAAAATAAGAGTTTCCATTTCATGAAATGGATAAAATATATGTCCGTTTCATGAACTAAAATTTGACACGTTATGATCGTGGTTCATGAAATGAACATCCATTTCATGAAAAATACGATCACACTAAGTGGATACGACATATAACCATATTGAAACAAGAATGATTTAAAAAAAAAAAAAAAAATGTAAAAACAAAAAATTAATAATTACCAATTATAATGAATTCTAACATTAAATTAAAAAAATTAAATCAAAATAATTGCAACATACCTTTGAGAATGTCAGTACCAAACTGAAGCTATGAAGATGTATAAGATATACGATCGGGATATTCAAAACACAGAGTTAATGAAACTGTGTGGAAACCATTGTATTTGAGTTACAATAATTTTTGTATCATAAATCGAAGTTTTCAAATTAACCCTGTACCCCAAAAATTATAAAAACAGTAGATAATTGAGTACCAATTAGACACCATTGTTTATCAGTGTATCTAGTATTCTAATATATCTAATAGATAGCCAATTCTTGTGTATTCATTGAAGACTTTAAATTATTCGCACTAGATAACGCTTAATAAAACTAGACTAATAAAATTAATAAAAAAAAAGATCAGAAAAGATATTAAAAACTATAGAATATTAATAACAATTAAGATATTAAATCAAAGTAAAAGCAATGTTCTATGTATTAAAGACGTTTCTTATGTAAAACTACAAATGTATATGCAAATTTTAAAATCATTTTTAATAAATCTATGTGTAAAACAGTTATTTCAATTAAACCCATTGAACTATAAGATAACTACTATCTATACATATTAATGGATTGAACAATATTTGATATCATTTAAGTTTATCAATTATTTGGTATCACTATTCACGGGAAACGAACAATTCGTGCATGGACAATAGGTCCCCGCGAAAATATTCCGTATGCGGACAATCCGTTCCACCTATATTATTATATTGCATTTAATATTTCAAAAATGTAATTGCAATAGTTTAGTATTAAAAATGTTCAGGGATAAATGAAAAGAAAAAATGGATTAAAATATAATCCTATATAAACACATGATGTAAACAAATTTGCCGGGTAAGGATTGTCCGCATATGACGTTTTTTCGCGAGGACGCAGTTGCGCCGACCTCGGGGTACAGGCCAGTGTACCGCCCGACCGAATTTTCGGTTGCAGTGGACGGGTGGATGGTTCCAGTAGTAAGAAAAAGTAAAAACATGCATAGTATGAATAGTTAACTAGTAATTACTAACTACTGTTTGTACTTTTGTAGAAAATATAACTATAAAAAAATTGTACCTACTACCTAGGTACTATGAATTATGTAATATAATTTGTAATATTATTTTATTTAATATAATAATTGTCTTAGATCTACTATTCATCGTGTTTTATTCGTCAGTGTACTAATGTTTGTTTACTCGATTTTAATCGTCGTGCTATTAACTGTGTTTTATGTATAATCGGTGCGTTGAATTTTAACAAAATGAGCAAACGAAAGCAATTCACGATTGAAGAAAAAACAAATATTATTTTACGTTTAAAAAAAGGTGAAAAAAATGGTGACATAGCTAATGAATTAGGCGTTGGTCATTCTACAATTTCTAACATATGGAAAGCTCGAGAAAAAATTGAACAGGAGTTTCAAAACGAAAAATTATCAGTTAAAAAACTTCGAAGTTGTACGCACACAGATTTAGACAGCGTTTTACTACGGTGGTTTAAAGATCAAAGAAATTTATGCATTCCAATTAATGGACCGATTCTTCAACAGAAAGCCAATGAATTAGCTGAAGGTCTTGGTAAGCAGAATTTTAATTGTTCAACTGGTTGGATTCAAAGATTTAGATCAAGACATAATAGTGTTATGTTATCGAAAATAAGTAGAAAATCAAGTTCTGTTAACACTGAAATAACACAAGATTGGTTTGAAAAAGTATGGCCAAAATTACGAGAAGGATACACAGATGACCAAATTTATAATGCCAATGAGACTGGGCTTTTTTTCAAAATGCTTCCTGATAGAACATCCAAATTTAAAGGAGATAAATGCTCAGATGGTAAAATGTCTGAAGAACGACTTACTATTTTAGTTTCAGCAAGTATGACTGGTAAAAAAATGAAACTAATTGTAATTGGAAAATCCCGTGAACCGCGGTGTTTCAAAAATATCAAAAATATTGACTGTCTACCGGTAACATACGAATCAAATTCCAAAGCTTGGATGACTGCAGAATTGTGGTCTAAAATTGTATTAAATTGGGATTTAGAATTGGAAAGAAAAAAAGAAAATATCTTACTCTTAGTTGACAACTGCCCGGCGCATACTAATGTTGAATTGCGCAATATCAAACTTGTATTTTTACCCAGTAATTGTACATCTGTTCTTCAACCAATGGATCAAGGCATAATAAAATGTATGAAAACTTATTTTCGAAGAAATTTAATGTTAAAAATGATCAATAACATAGAAAATAAAATTGATACCAATATCAGCGTATTAGATGGCATATTAATGATTTTTCAAGCTTGGGAAAAAGTATCAGAGATTACAATTCAAAACTGTTTTCGACACGCTGGTTTCAAAAATGCTATTCAACATCAAGTGGTCCAAGAAGAACAACTAGAAGAAATAAATTTTCCAATGATTTGCCAATTTGATGATTATGTTAACTTTGATAATGATGTGTTAATTTCAGAGCCATTAAGTGAAGAAATTATTTCCTCAATGAATAACCAACCCAAAGAACAAGAAGAGAAAGACGACAATAGTGAAGAAGATGATACTCCCAATGAAGATTTATCAATCAGTTCAGTGTTCAATGCAGTAAAAATTGTATCAAATTATATGGCTCTGAATAATGTAAGTTTAAAAACAAATTTCCAAGAAATTGAAAAAAAAATATTGTTAGATTTTTATACAAATAAAGTACAAACTAAGATAACAGATTTTTTTAATACAATTTAAATTTAATTTTAAAATAAAAAAACTTTTTTCTTTTTTTCTTTATGTATTGAAATCATTATTTAGTGATAAAAATATGACATTGGTTGTAATACAGTATTATGTTCATATAAATACATATACATATATATAATCAAGTTTTTAAATGTTATTTTATCCTTTTGGTTATTATGACTAATTTTAACTGATCCCTTGAATGACATAAAAAACTGTCTACTGTATATAAAATAATTTCGTTATAATATGCCATTATGAAATATATTTAAAATTATCGTTTTTCAATATATAATACAGTATAATGTATATTATTAAATACAGTTATAATTGTAGGCATTTTTTTAGGTATTATTGTTGGTATTTTGTTATTTAATTTATTATTTGTCACAATGTCAGATAACACTTGCAGTTGTTGCACTACTTTGTGCTTTTTGTGATGGTTTATTTTATTCTGTGTGTGTACCTCATGGTGTGAGTGTATCCCAGCAGTGTACAGCATCAAGATCAGCCACGCACCAACATTGAAATTGAAAGTATGCCTACTCATCCTTACAAAGATATTTAAAACATTTGGTTTATTAATATAAACTATTTAATATTTATCAGTACTTAATACATTTTAATTATAGGAACATATGAGGAAGCTAGAAATAAATTACCACAATATGATGACAATGATGATGCTGAAAAGTTTAATATTGACAACCGGGGTTGTGGAAAGTGTAAGAAGAAACTAAGTACTGCGGAAATAAGTAAAAATTTAAGGGTAATACAATTTTTTCAACTTATTAAGGTTTTCTAGTTATCAAATGATTTAAGAGAAAAATTTTAAAATGTGTGTATGTATTATATTCAAATTGTTATTATGAATATTATTTACTATCAAATAAAAAATAATAAATACAATAAATGTGTCATGGGACACGCAAGTCTATTAGACAAATGATTATAAAAATTATCCCTCTATATTTGGACCATAGAATTTTTGAGTTATTTAAAGTTTTTCTTTTGAGTAATTAAGGTTTTCACAAGGGAACAAAATTTATTTTGACTTAATGAAAATCCACTGTACTTGGAAAATTAATTCAAATTGAGAATCAAATAGTCATTCACCATCAATGCTATCCATGCCAGATCCTATTTGGATAAAATCCCTTGGTGTGGATTTTTTGAGGGTGAAGGGGAAAAGTGCTAGATTATTTATTATTTATTTTAATTTATGTTTAAATAAAATATGTTTTTTATTAGATCATTCTTATAGAACAAACAAAACTTTCTATTAGTAACAAAACTCCAGTTTCACTAAAACAAATAAGAAATATTAAATTATTCACCCTAGTCTCAGAATTAAAAATCATTAGTTAGTCTTACAACTCCAGTTAGTCTTTCAATTCCAGTGTCCAGATTAAAACTCACTTCAATATTTGCCACTCAAATTCCACTTGGATATAATGGATATAATAACATTTTGAGTTTGACACAAATTAATTTATTAGTCCAAGGTAAATTATTTATGTTATATTTTCTTAGGAACCATAAATGTCATACTTTATAAGTATATGTAAAATATTTATATTTTATTTTGTATGTAGTGAATAGTATCAACCTTTATCAGCTGTGGACTTGTCTTATACTACAATACATTTATTAATTTATTACAACAAGGCCAACACCATGTAACTAATAAAATATTAACAAAATTAATCATGAGCAATGGTGATTCTAAACCCCAATCAATAATCAGACAAAAATATTCTGAACATTTCATTTTAACAGGTAAATCTGTTGCTGAGGTGTGGTATATTTTTTTTTTATACTAAATTGTCTGAAAACTTAATAAAATGTATAATAATCATATATCCTTAATAAAATATTTCAAAGGTGTACATGAATACTTGTGCTGTATTAATATACAAAAATACATGTGTGAAGTTTCACTTCCAATGAAGTAACCCTAGCCTTGGTCTTAGAATCATATACCAAGTCATATATGGTCATATGACACCTAATGTCTTGAGAGTTGTTGAAAAGTTGAATTGATACTGAATTAGTGTATAAAAAGTGATATACATGAAGTAATGCTCTGGCAGCTTTGAGTAATCTCAATTTTGGACTTGTTGTTACAACCCCTGTGTCTGCACTAATTATTATCATATGCATATTTTTAAAATAAATTTAGATTCAAAAATTACCCTTTTAATAATACAAGTAAATTTGGTATATTTAGAGAAAATATCACCATAAACCAACATTTTGTTAAAGTACGTCTCGCCGACATTGAGGGGTTGGTTAGGTTAAGTTAGGTAAATTGTCATTATTTTTCATTTCAATATTTAATATGGATTAGTTCTATGTGACATTTTTAGAGTAGTAAATCAAATTTAATACGGAAAGCAGTTTTAGGAGAATACAATGGCCCCTTTAGATATTTTGATCCTCTTGTATATTAATAACGAACTTAATTGCATAAAAACTACTATATTAATTAATCACAATTATTGGTTTTTCATCTTAGCATTATAAAATTATGGCCGTGAAATCACCCATCAACATTTAATAATAAAAGGCATTAGAAATGTCTTACCATTTCCTAATCCTTATACAGAAATTTACTGAAATTTCATGACACCAATAATAATGTGATTAGAATAATAAATCATTATTACAAATTACAAATTCACCACTTCCTTCCTTCACTGTCCAAAATAGGTTTTAAGCGATTTACCTTCTCCAAGTACTGTATATTTTAATGACATTGTTAATTTTATAACTGTAAAAAAAATTTTGGATGACACAATTTCAATAAATTGAAATTAAAAATGAATTGAAAAATGATTTTAAGAGATAATTATCCCTCAAATGCTATCCTCAGATATGGCTTTGTAAGTAAAATAACAATGTGAAGTAAAATCCATGCTAGAAAACATATATCAAAATGTTTTAATTCCCAAATTATAATGTACCTAACAACTGTGATTTTATTGTTTTCTCATCCTAATCATAAGTACATAAAAACCATTACAGTAATACATATTCTTGAGACTTCAAATATTCCAATTAAAAGATTTTTTTTCTTTACATTTATATTGCAATCATAAAAACTCACGTTAAAAAAAAATAAACAAAGCTATGAAAAGAATGTAAAAAAACTCATTCTTTAAACACTATCCTTACATACAGCTTTGTAGGTAAACTAAAAAAAATACATATTTGGGAAATAAATTTCAAAACGCTGTATTTCAAAAATTTAATATATTCTCAACACCGAGTTTATATTTGTATGCCACATTCATTTTACCTCATACATAAGTACACAAAAGCCGCATCAGTATAAAATTTTCTGAAGATTTTCAATGACTTCAATTAAAAAATTTGTTCATTACAATTATATTGTGTAATTAATAACTCACATTTCCTACATTAAATAATGAAACTAAAGGAATATAAAAACTTTAAAACCTTCCAACACCATCCTTGGAGCTTTGTAGGTACAATAAAAAATTACAAGTTGGGAAATTAATTATGAGAATGTTTAAATTCTAAATTATAATGCACCATAACTGTGAGTGTAAAGTTTTCAGAAGCAATATTTTAACCATAATATGTACCCTGATGCTGTATCGGTACTAAATTTAACTGGGATTTATATTATTTCAATAAAAAAAATTGTTATTTACATTTACATTGCCTAATTAAAAAAGTCATGTTACAAACAATAAATAAAACTCCTAAAAAAATACATTAGACTAATTCACACACAATCCTATGATAAGGTTTTGTAGGTACACGATAAAATACATGTGGGTAAAATAAGTTATCAAATGTTTCAATTCCAAATTATAATGAACTGCAGTAATTGTGATAATAGATTTTTTGAAGCATTATTTAAACCTTAAAAAATACACGAAAACCATCTTAGTACTAAATTTATCTAAGATATCATTGATTAAAAAAAAAAAGATTTGTTATTTACATTTATATATTGTAATTAAATACACTAAATAATGAGACTTAATGAATGTAAAAAGTTTATATTTTTTTAACACCATCTTTAGATACGGCTTTATAGGTACACTAAAAAAAAAATACATGTAGGGAAAAAAAAAAAAAAAAAATTCATTGCAAATTATGATGCACCATTGTAACTGTGATTATAGTTTTTTTTGAAGCATTATTTAAACCTTAAAAATAGGTACACAGAAGCCGTATCAGTGCTCTATTTATCTGAGATTTTATTGATTAAAAAAAAAAGATTTGTTATTTACATTTATATATTGTAATTAAATACACTAAATAATGAGACTTAATGAATGTATAAAGTTTATATATTTTTAACACCATCTTTAGATACGGCTTTGTAGGTACACTAAAAAAAAAATTCATTGCAAATTATGATGCACCATTGTAACTGTGATTATAGTTTTTTTTTGAAGAATTATTTAAACCTTAAAAATAGGTACACAGAAGCCGTATCGGTGCTCTATTTATCTGAGATTTTAACATTATTCTTAGTTATGGCTTTATAGATACACGATAAATTACATGTGGGGAAATAAATTATCAAATGTTTCAATTCCAAATTATAATAAACCGTAGTAACTGTGATTATAGTTTTTTCTGAAGCATTATTTAAACCTTAAAAATAGGTACACAG